CCTGATGGTGTCATTAATATGTGGAATAGAGAGTAAATTAATAGTCAGATGAAGACAAGCTAAACAACTAACACTTGATAGCTTACGACAGAACTGAAGCACCAAGGGAAGGAAAGGGTAGGAGAGAGTAAAGAACAAAGAGGGAAGGATGCATAACGATTTGTAGTAAGTGAATATGAGTGAGTTGTTGGTGTGTGCACTATGGTTGTAATACCTGACAGGTACCCCAATATTACTTCAGTTAAAGATTAATTAATTATGGGCCTCCCCAGTGGCACAGAGGGTTGAGCTCAGCTCTGTGAAGCTGTCCACAGCCTCTGCAGTGTGGGTTCTATACTTGGCCAGCTAGGGAGATACCCACGTGGCACGGCAGACCTCTCCTGTCTCACCCGCTGCTCCCCTCAGCAGTGTATTTCAGTCAGTCTGCCTGTTCTGTTCCCTAATTTGTCTCTGGTGAATCCCCTTACCCTCCCATGCCTCTGGCCTGTACCCCAGTTCTTGTATAAATAAATCTTTAAAAATTTAATTGTAAGAAATTATAACTCATTATTTTCTATGAAAAAAAAAATCATCACAATGTAATAAACTGCTACCAAGTAATGGTTTAGCCAAAATTGTTACATGGTGTTCAGTACTTTGAGTGGGTGGTATTAGACCTAAATGTTTATCCTATGTTTACTAACATAAGATGTCAGGAAATTATGTCTAATGTTGCAAAATCAAGAGGTAACATATTAGTATGTGATTTAAAATTATGAGAATAAATTCCATAAGAGTAATATGTGCCCTCAAGGATTAGATTTGGAGATAGGTGATGATACATTGATACTGCCCTTATTTGTTATGAACAGTTTAGTATTATATAACTTAAATTAGGTACATTGATCTGATATGAAAATATAATAAAAATAGTTACATATGTCCATGAGTAAGAAAAAAAAAATCTTAAGTTTATAGATGAACATTTCTGCTACTCTCCTGAGTAAACTCTAACAGTTTCTATTTATAGTTGTTCTGATGGTCAAGTACATGATTTGAAGAATTAGTAAAGTGTAAAAGCATCTGAACTTATCTTTGCACAGTTAACCAAAAGATGGCTTTATCAAGTTGCATTATAGACATCACTAGTTAATTGTGTCATCGAAAGTAATGCACAATTGAACTCTGACTGTTGGTCTTTCATTTGAACCAAAGAAGCAGTCCTGACCTAGTTGGGTGAGGCAAAGAGTTATCCTGCCAGTGTGAGCATGGTATTTCTGGCAAGAGATTACTTTTCTAACAGTTGGGGTTGGTGCCATAGCAGATTTTCCTGACTCAGGGAGTGTTGAACCTTGGTCCCTCTGGTTAGATTATTTGTTTGATTATGATTATCTACAACAATAAGCTCTTTTGTTGTCATAGGTTATCAGAAGCAGGCAGTACTTTTCCATCTTTCCTAGCAAAAATACCTTTTTGCATTTGAAATTATAATAGTTTTATTTAGTTTTCACTAAAATGGTATTGTATGGGGATATTTTATTAAATTTTATCAAGAACTCCAGTGCCCATTGATAGCATATATCCACAGGCAGTTAATTTTTTTTCTATTTTTTTAAAGATTTATTTATTTATACAAGTGCTGGGGTACAGGCCAGAGGCATAGGGTGAGAGGATTCACCAGAGACAGAGAAGGGAGCAGAACAGGCAGACTGACCAAAAGCACTGCTGAGGGGAGCAGCAGGCAAGCAAGACAGGAGAGATCTGCTGTGCCATGTGGGTATCCTCCTGTCTGGCCAGGAATCGAACCCGCGCTGCAGAGGTTGCAGACAGCTTCACAGTGCTGCGCTCAACCTGCTATACCACCGGGGAGGCCCAATTTTTTTTGTCATTTGTCATTTATCTTTTTTTATTTTTTAAAGATTTTTATTATTTATTTATTTATACAAGGACTAGGTACAGTCAGAAGCGTGGGAGGATGAGAGAATTCACCAGAGCCAGAGCGGGGAGCAGAGCAGGCAGAAGGACCGAAGCACACTGCTGAGGGGAGCAGCAGGCGTCAGGAGAGGTCTGCATGCCATGTGGGACCCTCCTCCGGTGGCCAGAAGCAGCCAGGGATTGAACGGCGCATCAGAGGCTGCGGGTAGCTTCACAACCTGGCGCTCAACCGCTGCGCCACCGGGGAGGCCCAATTTGTCATTTATCTTGAGCAATAGCTAGAGGGGAAAAATAATCAATTATAGTGATACTGTATTTTATGCAGCTCTTACTATATCAATATATGTCAGGCAATCTGCTACCTACTCAACACCTCAATTTTTATGATAGTTTTAGAAGCCTGCTATAGTTTTATCACTACCATTTTATATCTAAGAAAATGGGTAACAGTTGAATGAGTTGGCCATGGTTACAGAGCTGGAATGTGACTGAGCTATGTTTGAAACCCTGATGAGTGTTGACTCTGGTGCCTGTGTTTTTTAGGTTTGAGTACCGGCCTTTCAGTGCATCCCTCACTTTTTATTTCATGAGAATAAGAAAGTAGTTGATTTGTATTTAAAACCTAGTTACTGATATAATAGTGTCTATAATTGTTGCATCTTTTCTATTTATGCCATTCTGTATCTTCTCAGTTCAAAAATCTGGAGTAATCTTTGCAGAATCCAATATCTCTCCTTTTGTTTTCTATTTACTTACCATGTTCTCTATAGTTTTCTGTTTTAAGTGTTCTACTCCTATCTGGACTATTGCGACTATCTGTAGTCTTCCTTCAACCAGTGTCTGCCATCTTAAATATACTGTCAGCATTGATCTGGTTTTTAACACTCAGCTTGTATCATACCTGTTTAAAGCACTAACATCTCCCCATTATCTATAAGAAAAACACCATTTATTTGTCTAGAATTCAAGACCTTTCATAAAAGCTGTCAGTATGTCATTTCACCAGGTTATATGCCTTTACTTTCCTTCTTTTACAGTTTTCTTGCCCATGTTAATAAAGCCCTGAGTTTGCCTATTGAAACATAGATTTTCTCTACTATCATTTGGTGTTTTTTTTTTTTTTTAAGATTTTGTTGATTTATTTTTGCATAGAAGAACTGGGATATAGGCCCGAGGTCCAGGGAGGTGTGGGGGAATTGAGAGGATTTACCAGAGACAAAGGGGAGCAGAGCAGGCAGATATACTGAAATATACTGCTAAGGGGAGCAGCAAGACTGGAGAGGTCTGCTGCATCATGTATCGGTTAGCTCCCTGGGCGGTGGGCCATGGTAGTGATAGCTCTGAGACTTAACTCCTAGGCCACCAGGGAGGCCCTCATGTGGTGTTTTTTAATATGCTTCACATATTGATAGTATTTTTGTGTTTGCATGTCTCATTTCCCAAATGGATTATTAACTCCAGAGTATAGAGATGAAAACTTTATATTTAAATAGTATTTAGTGCAGTTTTTTCCTGTAACTGTGTAAAAAATATAATGAATTACTGAAGTTTTAAAGTCAACATAAAATTCCAATTGTATGCTTGCTTGCTTTTGTTGATTTCATAAATATTCGATAAATAAAACTTTTAATAGACTTTTATATTATGTTTTTCCATCTGTTTAATTATATTTAACTATATGATTGGAAATATATTGGTATAACTTTTAATATACTTTTATATTATGTCTTTCCATCTCTTTAATTATATTTAACATATGATTGAAATATATAGGTATAACTTTAGTAGTTTAAAATATTTTTTAAAATAATTTTCATTTAGTATTGTAATCTGAAAGCTACAGAAAATCTATTCCAAATGAAAATGATATACTCATTATTGCATAGTTTTTAAGAAAATAAACAATTCATGAGAAATTATGAGTTGTTTTATTATATTGCTGTTTTATTATATTATTTGTAGTAGATAGTTTTGATGGAGTTAAATTGAATATAAATATTATTGTGTCATAAATGTTGAATATGAATTATTTTGTTTCTCTTAACTGATGTGTTAAATATTCAAAATTACATGGGGAAATTTGAAATGTACTTAAATGCTAAGTATAAAATACTCTGCTTAGACATGATTTTGTTTTCCAAAAGGGGATTATGTATATTTTTGTGTATTAAAATTGATTATTGCTTTCTGCTGAATTTGAAGTTTTCTGACCTTTATTTTCCCCTTTTTTATCTTTATTTTAATAATTTAAATTTTTATCTTTTATCAAAATTATGTATTTTGATATTTCCACTTTAATGTAAAAATTATTTAAAATTATATTCTACACAAGATATTTTTACTTTGAAATATTCAAATTTCAGTAAGATAATGATAATTTCATCCTGAGACCAAAGAATAAATAATCATGTATATTTATAAACTTTAGACATTCATATTTATTAATCTTAGAGTGCTTTTGTTGCCTTTTTAAAACATATATATTTTAGCTCAGAAAATAATGCATTCTAAATATCTAAAAATTCTCATGCTATCTTTTCCCCTAAATTATCCTTTCAAGATAATTTTGAACATCATAATGATGTCTTCTTTTACACTTCACATTTTTTAAGACATCTCAAATTATTTTATTCTTTAATTTGGTTTTCAAAACATCCAAACTAAACCATAAATATATCTTTCAGAATAAGAGTCATACATTTGTTATATATTCACTACGTGTGTATGACAGAATCTCAGAAACAAACAAATAAAAAATGTTGCATTTTAAAAGTAGTGAAATTTTAAGTTAATTTTATTTTTAATGGGACTGAGCCCTATATTGAAATAGCAGATTATCCATTTTGACTGCTCTCATTTAATCATTTCATTTTTAAAATTAGACTTCATTTTACGATCCAAAAATACCTCACTAATGTGCATTTTTGGCTGTGTTAATTCCCTTTGTCATAAGATGGAAGCTAGCCTAAATTTTCTAATAATTTTTCATCACATTAAAATTCATGGCAAAAATAAAAATGAGATAATTTTGAATTCAAGTGAATACATTTTATACGGATCCCTTCTCCCTCTTCTCTCTACCTAAGGAAATAGAGATATTGAGATCAGAATTAAGTGAAAGCAAGCAGCACTTGGAACAGGAGCAGCAGAAGGCAGTCAAGGCCGGAGAGGAGTGCCTGAAACTGACAGAACTGCTGCGCGAGTCCGAGCACCAACTGCACCTCACCAGGTACTCCCTAATCTCATTATGGACCGTAGCACCAATTTTATTCCACAGATTTCTGCCACAGGCTTCCAAACAGTTGTTAGAGTTAGTCTTAGTCATTCAATTCACACACAGCTTTCAGACATATTAAGAAAAGTGGAGATGTGGTAAGCAAAACACCCAGACATGTGAATGATAAGTGTGGCAGGGAATTACTGATATATTACAAAACCTTTCATCTACAATGCTCAAATATTTAGGTACCCTCTATCAATGTAAGCAAAATGACATATTTCTCTTACTATCACAACTACCTCGTCTGTTAATTCTATGTTTAATAAAAACGTTGAACTGAAGAAACTGAGAAATATATGTAAGGAAATAATCAGATCTTATCAGTGGGAAAACACCAAAGAAAATATATCCTATGATCCAAAATGAGAGGGAACTGAAAATAAATAAGGAATCTGAATGCTAAGGAAGTGTAAAATTTAGAGATGAAATTGATTGGCACTATTTCTGTTTAAACCATTATTATAATCAGGCTCACACCATCATGGTTTCAATTTACATTGTTTCTGACATGAGATATTATGATGTGATCACCATTTTCATATAAAACTTTAGTAAGCAGTTAGCTCAGCCATCAGTTGTAATAAGATATTTTAGGTAGCAAGGATTGTGTATTTTGCTATATTGAAAACACACACACACACGCATATATACACAGAGAGAAAAATTCAAATATAGGTATTTCATGTTACCTGAAAGTAAATTCCCACGTTCAGTTTTAGTAAATTTTTCAACCATCAGTTCAGCCTTTAGATTTGTTCAATTCTTAGAGTTTTAAAGTTTTTGAGACAACTTTGTATAAATACATATATAAGTATGATATTTGGTTTGGTGCATAAATTAGAAAAACACTGGTCTTCTAATCATAGTAATATGTTGAATTCAAACTATGAAAGGGAACTGATCCCTTTTACATTAAATATGACAATGTAATTCTAAGCACGATATGATAACAGATGGAGAAAAGCACCACTTGAACAGCCTGCATTTGGAGAAAAAATATTCAGAGGTTGGTGAACCTCCCAAAGTTTTGGGTTGGTGTTACGATACCTCTAGTTCTATTAAAATCAAACTTTTTTTTTACAAAACATTTTGTTATGATCATATCCAAAAGGTTTGCCAACTTTCCTTCTAAACAATGAAAGAAAAAGGGGAGCGGAGAGAGTGAGAGTGAGAGAGAGGAAGAGAGAAAAGAAAGTAAATCATTTCTACCTGTCTGATATCTGGAAAAAAGCTCCAATAGATGAAACACTTTTATGAGAAAACATTTCAAAATAATAACTGTTTTTTTAATGGCCATTTAAAGTTTTATCATTGTAGAGCTGAGGACGTTATGATGATACAGTGTTCCTACGGTTATTTGATCTTAGGAGTTTTGGAATTTAGCTTCATCATGATAGTTAATAGCATTTTTTTCTCTGGCAGACTTCTGTTGAGAACCAACCATTTGTGTGCTAACCACTACTAAACACAGAAATGGGACAGCTTTTAAAGTCTCAGTGTGACTGAGCTTCAGTAAATAAATAGTAATGCTGTTTTGCCTCTTTCGCCATTCTGTCTTATTCGGAGAGTTAATTTCTGAAGTTAAAGTTTGTAGATTGTTTTCTTGTGCAGTATCAATCTGTACTATCTGACAAGACAGTTTCTTGCAAGTAATGCATATTAAGATACAGTAATTGCTGATAATAGAGTAATGGTAGTTAATTCCTTTGTTGTTAAGAAAAAGTGGTTTTGCTTCATTACATACAAAGCTTTTCTATTACCCCTTATTTATACCAAGTCTACACAAATTTAAACCTAGTTTAGAAAACTTAAATAAGGGACCAGGAAAATGAATATAAGAAAGTGAAAATCAAAATCAACAAAAAAACTATGAACCAGAGACACTTTTTGGGGGGTTGGGGGGCGGGAGGGGAAGGATTGGGGTCAGAATGGGGCGTTTGCAATTGTATGGGGGAATATAAAAATAAAATTTAATATTTAAAAAAAAAAAATAAACCTAGTTTTATAGAAAGTAAAATTTAATTACCAATATATTGAGTGCAGTACTCTTTCATAAACATTTTCTCTTAGTGTATGTCTATATTTTATAAAATACACATTCATAAATTTTAAAGATGACAGTTATAAATGCAAGGAAATATGTATATCTCTTTTGGCATGACTATTGGACTAAGCATTACTCACGTTCTTTTGGGGGGGGGGGTTTCTCTCTTAGAGTTTGCATTTCCTCACCATTCTTTCTTGATTTAGGATATTCTTGTGTGTGACTGAGAAGCACTATGTCTTTCTTTTTCAGTATAGATCAGCTGAAATAAATAAATCCCACACAGGGATTTTATTTGGCTTCAATATTTTGAATGGCATATTCTATACAAAGTGTAAAATTACATATTAAATCCATGTTATAAAGTAATGACAAAATAAGGATCCAGATTTTCAAGAGCAAAAATAATTAAAAACTGGAGTAGAAATTTATAGATCAAATTGAAAGAATGGCTATTCACTTTTTTGATATCCCCATATATTGTCTAATTGGACTTCAAATTAGAAAGTAGAAAATAGAAAAATGGAAAGTAGAAATGGAAAAGTAAGTTGAAGGACCCAAATAATGCATATAGTATTTTGCAATTGAGCATCTACTATCTTTAAAATATGTTTACTTGATCCCAGGTGTAGAGAAAATAAGTAAGATTTAGTTCCTACCCTAAGATACTCACACTCTATTAAAGGGGCCAGATCTAAATATGCAGTTATAGTAGTATGTGGTAGTAGAATAGTGGTGGAGCACATAAGAAAGAGAATTGGTTCATTCTGCATTGTGGGTAAAGGTGATGGTCAGGTAAAGTTTTCTGGAGGAGGAAATGTTTGGTAGCAATGCTGATTAATTAATTCATGATCAGGAATTCTCAAAGTGGAAAAAGTTGGAATCAGTACCCAAAGTAAAGGGAACAATATATACAAAGACATAAATATTGGAGAGAACATGAACTCTACAATCAGGTTAGGTATTTGGCAGGAGATAAGTCTGGGGAGGGAAGCAGGGACCAGAGGGAAGGACCTTGTGGGCCACATCCTGGATTTTTAGTCATTCTAAGAGTGATGAGTTACATAATATAATTTAAGCAGACTGCCAACATGTTTAAATATTTGGGTTGGGATCCTGACTTAAATAGCAGTGTTGAGTGTGCAATTGGAGAGTTGATGTATAAGAAACAGAAAGACCTGTTAGGACAGTCAGCAACTACAGCCCGTAGGCCAAATCTGGTTCATCAATTCATGAGCTAGGAATGGTTTCTGTATGATTCTTGAGCTAATAACAGTTTTATGGTTTTTAATAGTTGGACAAAAAAAAACAAGAAAGATAATATTTTGTGACACATAAAAATAATGCATCTTTAAATAAAGTTTTATTGTACACAGTCACAATAGTCCTTTATGAGTTGTGTATGGGATTGGCACAGCAGAATGAATATGGCCCTCAAAATCTAAAATATTTACTGTCTTATCCTTTACAGAAAAAGTTTTAGCTAACCTTTCCAGAGGCTGTTTAATTCAAGTAAGAAATCATTTGAACATGTAAAAATTGAGAGATTCAAATATGTATGTGAAGAAGGAAATTGAAAGGCACTGTGAATATAGATTGACTGAAGGAGAGATAATTAGTGGGGGATTCAATAAGAATATATGCTCAGTAGTCCGGGTGAATGAGACTGAATTCCTAGGCAGTGGCCTGTAAAACAGAAAGGGAACAACATTCACAAGAGGCATTTAGGTAGAAAATAAGATGCCTCCAATGTTTCTAGCTTATATTAACTGGATGACCCATTAATCCAAATAGGGGACTTAAAAGGAGTAACAGAGGAAAACAATACACTTTGTTTTGGAACTCTGGGGTCTGGTGTAAGTCTAGTGTGAGGAGAAAGTTCATGACTAGAGGCTTAGATCTGGATGCTTTCACATAAAGTTACTGGTTATAGCCAAGAGAGTGGGTAAAAGCTCAGAGAGAAGATTCTGTTTTTACAGTAGGATGGCAAAAGAGCCAAAGAGTCAAAGAGACTACAGGAGGACATAAGAATGAATAAAAATGCATCAAAGGATGCTTTAGTGATGTAACAATTAAAACTGCATTTTTCTTGGAGAGGGCCCCACACATCCTAGGGCTGAGGAAACGGATCTTTGGTATCTTCTCCCAGGCTTTCACTATCTTTGCAGCTTTTAACCAGTTATTTAATTCTTTGAACCTGCTTATTTACCTGTAAAATGAGGTTTGACTAGAAGATTCCTAAGTTTCCTTCTAACTGACACTCAATGATTTTAACAATGATTTCAGACAACCCATCACTGAGTTCCTATTTTCAGACATTAGGCATTTGAATTGCTTGGCATCTCATTTATCTAAGGTGTTACCTTAGCTTGAACTTCAGAGAGATTTCATAGAAATATCCTATATACCTGTCATTTACATTCATCACAATTTAGGCTCTGCTGATCTCTCACAAGGGTTATAAAAATAATCTCCCAATATGTCTTCCAGTCTCTCCTGCTAAACCACACCCAGTGAATATTCATAAGCACTGCTTTGACTCTGTCACCTGTTGTGAAAACCTTTCATGGCACCATGCCACGTTGACGATTATGGAAGGTCCAAAGTACTCAGCACTTCAGGCTCACTTTAAGATTCCCAGTCTTCTACTTTCATATTATCACTACCAACTTCTAGTTTCCTGTTATCTTCTTACATGCCGATTCCAGTCAAATTTAAGCAGATGCAACCCCTCTTTGTACTTTTGGATTTTCCTCTCCTTCTGCTGTTCTCTACACACTGAATATCCCCTTTACCCTTTCTCACCCTGTTATAATTTCACCTTTCCCAAGTCTCCCTAAAATCCTACATTTTCTACCTCGTCCTCCCTGATAACCCCAACCAGAAGTGAGCATGTCTTCGTTGG